AATTAACTAATATTAAATAAAATCATTCAATCTTTGGGATTGATGCACGGTCTCCGCTAGTATGTAATATAATCGGACACAACTTTTTATGATTCAAATGGGATGAAATCCGCATCTGATCCAATTATTAATAATCGGTGCAGGTTTTAACATCCAAGTTTGAATAACTGGATCAGAAGTCGGATCAGGTATTTAATGTTTGGAGTCCGTTAACAGCCCTAATTCAATTCACAAAGTTCAAGAGCAGGTTACACTTACACCAGATCCAAACTTCACAAAAGCATGATTTTTTTTCCTCGAACATTAAAAATTAAGATGTGATTGTTTTACACGAAAACGATATGTCTTGACACAAAGTAGGACATATATTTGTAAAAATAGGTCCCACTTAATATCATAGGAAGAAGAAATCTAAGAATTGTATAAACTCCTTATTTACTACTATTCCTCTTGATTATCCCTATTATCTTAGCAAATAAAGGGTGGAAGTCATGATAATTGCTCCCAATCCCCTTTTTATTTCCAAAGATAAAGTGCTAAAAGTCCAAGAGGAGGATGTGACAAGAAGAAAATGCCATTGAAATTGATAGAGACACAAAACCATTAATAAATTACCTGTGGGCGACGACAATGAACATCACTACCATATCACTATAAGAGTGCAAATGGATCAAGCCGAATGGGAGATATACCTATTTCTAAATTGATTTGTTAATATTCATTTTTGAATTGAATCTTATCCTTTATATGTAGATGTGACTCAAATTTAATTTAAATATCGGGCACCATGAATAAATTAAATTAATAATCAAAATATTATGTAGTATATACTACTAATATATTATAAAAAATTTATATATTTATCACAAGATTATGTTATTCAATTCGTTTCTAACTACTGCTACTACTTTTCTTGATCTCAATTCAACTAAGCCTTGTTCCAGCTACGTGGGATTGGTTATGTGAGTCCGACATACTGGTATATTAACTGTCATATCCATTTGTTATTAGCTGTTAGAATTATTTTTCATTAGTTCAACCCATGTGTTTTTAGGTCAGTCCCGTGAGCTTAATTTGGAAGGAGTATAAATACAAATATGTACACTGTAAATACATACAGAATAATACAAAATACAATATCATTTGGCACTCTACATATTTGTATTTGTATTCCTTCCAAACTAAGCTTTGGTTCTTCTTGATCCTTCAATTTGTGATAGATCACTTCTTAATGATATTGTTAATGGTCTTTTGTGCAACATATGCATCAATCATCTTAGCTAGGCCTCATTTGGCATGTCTTTTTCGCGCAGACTGCCAACTTTTTAAAAGCCCGAAAACTCATGTTTTCATCTTTTCCCGTTTGGTTAAGTAAAGATCTAATCACCAAAAGACACCGCACCAAAAAGATGAACAAAGCCCGTTTTGGGCGATTTTCAAAATGGAGTTTTTTGGTTTTTTCAACTTGTCTTCACATGGAAAGACACACCATAACCAAACAGTCTTCAGACTGTCTAAATCTTGATGCAAAAACCACTACGTCTTTTGACTACTGTCAGATCTTTCAAAAAAGACTTGCCAAACGGCCTCTTAGTCTATTTTCCTTGATCATTTTAAAATTACTTTTAGGTGCCTTCCAATAAGTTCATTTCTAGTTTTTGACACGTTTTGCTACATTCATTTATTTGACACGTTTCTTTGGCTGCTTAGCACTCAATTCCATACATTATCATATCTCCCACAGGAACAATATGGCCGTCCAAGATTGACAGCTTGGGCTGTCAAATAGGGCACTCTCTGTATGACACATTAATTAGTTCAAACAGACTTTGGTGTAACAATATGAATTAATTAATGTGCTATGCAAGGAGAGCTTTTTGACAACATAGGCTATCGAATACGGACAGCCAATGTTTTCTTCTCTCCCTTGGTTGATGCAACCTTTATATGTTCATATACTTACTCGGCACTCATTTATTTTCTAAAACCAACTATGATACTGATCCCATATCTAAAAAACTTATAACCAATCGAACAATATCATAAAAATGCCAACCTGCTCATCACAATCCAATTCATCCGAGGGGAGGGTGTTGATTAATCAGTATCATACCTTTCCCACATCATAGGGATATTGTATTTCTCTAGATCAAAGGCTCCTTTACTTTGAAGGTTCTAATTCAAATAAGGATCTATTGATTTTAGTTATCATTTTTAAAACCCACAACACAATTCTTTTTGTTAGGATTGCAAGGATTTAGGATTGAATTAGGAGTCCTTTTGTTGTAATTGAATCATGAGTCTGTCTCCGATAATTTTATCCTTGTAAACGTAGGAGATTCGACTGTATATATATTGGCATTCTCAGTGAATAAAATCAAGAAAATAGAAATCAGAAAAGCTCTGCTTTTACATGGTATCAGAGCCACGAAACAGGAGCGAGAGTCTGGCACGCTTGCGGGCTTCTTCTAGTTCTTTCTTGTCTTCGACCTTGACTTCTATCGTGTTCGGTTATCTTCTCGTCTTTCGCTCAAAACTTGCCGAAACCATTCGGTTCTTGTGATTTCGGGTCGTCGTCAACTACGCGGCAAGGGACGATTATTTTCGGTGATTTGCTTGCTTCCAACCCCCTGCCGCTCCAAAATTGACCGACGAATCGACAATACAACGGCGGAAGTCGTTTTTCTACTTTCAACGTCTCCTCTCATAGAACAGTGAGGACAGCACTCTGGTCAATCTCTTCTTCATCCTCTTCGACGCGGCTGATGCCGTTGACAATAACGGCTTTAGCTTTAAGAGAAACGATGCAACGGTTGTCGCTGTTGTAGAAGCGGAGGCAAAGGACAGCACGCTTGGACGAGAGTTCGGCAGCAGCGCCGTCGAAGAAAACGTTCTCTTGGAAGTGGGTTTGGAGGTGGAACGGAGATAAGACGTTCCACAACCTCTAGAGATCGGTGGCGGCGATCTCTTACCAGCGGCAGCGGCGATTGTGTTGCGTTCCGGTGGCGGCGATCTCTTAGAAACGCTGTGGCAGCGGTGATCGTGTTGCGTT